GGGGACAGGGGGGGCGATGGCGGGATGGTGTTGCTTGGGCTAAATGTCCCTCGGATCTGCAGGCTCGCCAGCAGATGCAATTGTTACGTCGGGGGCGGGGGGGGGGGACAGCGACAGCAAACCTGCACTTGCCACGGCAGACGCAGGAAAATCCGCGCCGGTCTCTACAATACTCAGAAGCTCCAGCTTTCCCTCGTAAGCTACGCTGAGCAATTCACAACCCTACGCGCGAGGCATGCATTCGGCAAGACCAACCAAAACTTTTCCACGGCGTACCTGTACTTGGTCCATGTCCACGAGACCCGCGCCGGCGGCCTGGCCCAGCCTCACGCCGTCCCCGGTAGCCTGCGGACCGCTGGTGGTCGCCAGGTGGAGGCGTTCCGGCGCAAACTCGGACAGGAGGGACCCCTCGGATCGGTCGTACGCGTAGCCTGAAAAGAAAAAAAAGGTGAGGGGGGGGGGTACCAATGTTTGGCATGCGTTACATAACAGCTGGACCATTGATCACGCGTCCTCAAGAGGGAGGGGGAGGAGGTCGAGCTATTGTTTCGGAACGAGAGGTTAGCAGGTTGAGAAGGCTGGCTCCCGGGAAGAGATGGTGGTACGTAGCGTTCTCTGGTGCCGCCGCTAAACATGGTGCTCTCGGCGGGGAGCGTTGCGGCGTTACTCGGGGTCTAGCAAGAGGAAGAGGCGCTGCTTTGACAATTGCGACCGAAAGACGGCCAGACACTCGGGAGTACTGTAGCCCTACAATACACACTTGGCTGCTGAGCGAGAAAGAAGAGGATGTCTAGATCGACAATTCAGCTTCTACTGAACGCTGGCATGTCATGTCATGCCGCCGTAGCGCGACAAATCGCTCCAACACTATCTCTTCGCAAGGGCCTTCAAAGCTCTCTGTCCGACGTTCTCCAGCACCTAAGCCTAAGCGGGGACAACGCCACACCTTCTCCACCACAGCTCTAAACACGGCCCGAGACGTTAACGTTAACGGGGCCTACCTCCGGTAGTGAGCACCACAGACGCTGCTGGCAACTCGATTTGGTCCCCGTCACCCTCCTGCTGGTAACGCACCCCCGTGACCCGGCCGGCGTCGTTTGTCGTCAAGGACGTCACGTGCGCGTTGGTCATGACCGATATCTTCGGGATACCGAGGAGGCAGGGAAAGGGGAGGAGAGGCATACCCGTTCATCTTGTAAGGGATTCAAACCATTTGGCCGCCGCGCATGTCTCTCTCGAGAACGAAAGTATATCCACGTTTGTCTGCACGATGGATCCTTGCAGCAGCTTGAGGGCACGGTTGCATGCGATGCGATCTTGCTGTAAATCTATGAAATACTGTACAGCCTAAGAAGTCTTGAGGGAACTGACAACAATAGATGCGGACAGATACCCGCGGGATGCAAGTGCAACTCCGATTTGGGCCTCGCCGTTTGCATCTTAACAGACGACGTCATGGCCACTAACGACAACCTTTTTGTCTCATCCCGGTCTCGCAGTGGCGCCGTCAACAGGAAAGCACCGTACCGTCGCACAAGTGGGGGAACCTTAGCCCTACAGTTGGCCCAGTTATCCTGGCTTCATTTTAAGTCAACTCCCCGCGCGTTAAGGATAAAAAAAAATATCAGAAGCAGGGCGCCCGACAGATACCAATCCTAAGGACACTTCAAAAAAGACATGGGTGTCCTGAGAGCGGGATCGGCACTATCCCTGATGCTGCACATCGCTCACCTCCTCCGGGTGGTCCTCGACATACTTGTACACCTTCTGCACCGTCGTCCATCCTACAGGCACGGGGCGGCCGTCGGATCCCGGCGGGATGCGGTGTGTCCGGGGCGCCTGTGTCCAAAAATAAATCAACGTCAAGGGAAGCACCATGGCGGATCAAGGAAGCAACAGAGGATGAGTCGCGAGGGTGCAGCGGTTACAATACACCGGTGACCTGAGCTGGACAAGTCTTCCTGCCTCTCGGGTTTGTTGAGGGGCACCATAAAACGACCAAGGTGCCAGAGGTGCGGTACCTATGTCATGCCACTGTCTGTGGTGCGACGTTAGAACACCCTTTTGGGGACTTCCACTCCAGCCATTGCTAACAACACACATGAGCAAATGCAGCAGTGGACCAACGCACCAAAGGGTACTGGAATAACGTAAGGAGGGGGGAGATGAGCACCAAAAGGTCGGCTTTGCTATCCAATGAACTATTAAGCAGCGACCGGGCCCACCAAAAACACAACCGGAAATAATCGGCGATCAGCCAGTACATGAAAAAATACGAACCAATGAACCGCTCTAACACCGCCGGAAGGAAAACACAAACGCCAGCGTGTGGTCCGAACCTGGTGCCCGCCGCACTGAGAGAGGAGAGACAGGTCCAGCCCGAAAGACTCCAGCCACTCCACGGCCTGAAAGAACAAAATACCCCGCGAAAAACAGTGGAAGTGGCAGATCGATCAATACATCGTCGCAGGTATTAATATTCACGCGGACGAAACGAAGTGCCGTACATGTAGCCGAAAGCGCCGCAACCGTTGCAGCAGACAGCAACAGCAGCGGCTGTTGCACATCAGGGAAGAAAGACCAAACAATCGTAGGGAAGTGGTTATTTCTGACACGTTCAGAGACTCCGGGAATATTTTTTCCAAGCTAATAGGAAGGAACGACCACAGATTGAGCAAGAAATATCACGACCGGCGTTGACCAGCATCGTGCAAACAGCAAGAGCATCATACAAGCTTGGAGCCGGGAAAAATGCCAGAACAGCACTTATTATTATCTCGCCCCAGCACAGCACCACCCAGCTGATCCGGCACCCTCTCTCTCCATGTTGCCCTACTATCTTATCCACACACGGCACGTAAAGCAGGTGCGGCACCTCAGCGCTCTTCTCCACCAAGACGTCCACTAGCTCGGGTGTGCTGCGCCCCCCGCCCGACTTGATGATATCGGCCTTGAAGGACTGCAGCGTGTCGCTGTCGTCCTTCAACGTCTGGGCCGTGGTCAAAGCCCCGTTGATACCTGGTCAAACAAAATCGCACCCATTGCGACAAGACACGAGACAAATAAAAATGACATACCCAGGGCACGTGTATTGGCGAGCGTGACCAGCGTGACCAGCGTACTCTTTGGACTACCTCCCGAAGTGGTGATACAGGCCAGATTCCACTATTTCCAAAGACAGGAGAGTTTTCCGGATTTGTCCGGTGAGGGGGGTGCTCCGTAGTTTCGGGAGTAGACATGAGTGGGACCTACGCGGCGAATGCGGGTACAGTACGTGTACGGCATGGGGTATGTGGTATGTATGCGGGAGAGCCTTTGATTCGTGCGCTCCCGTGCCGCATAGGGGGGATAGGGTCTCGAAGAACCAAACAGGGCATGTGCAGTAGGTCGCATGAGATATTAACCCTTGCGGGTTCGAACCAATTCCGGCGGTTCTTCCTGTTGATTGGCATCAAACTTAGCCCTACCACTTGATCTGAGAGAAAGAGAAGGCTGTCGTGCGCGTTGCAGACAGGACACGATCAAAACGCCGCACGTGTCGTATCTTGCTGCAGGTTTTATGGCAACGCGGCCCGCCGCACGTGTCGTATCTTGCAGCAGGTTTTGGCAACGCGGCCGAAGGGCTCGCCGGGGCTAAACTTTCCAGCAGGCACACACGCACATATGCACTTATGCATACCTGACGTAGCCTTGGCAGAGTTCCCGCCGATCCGGCTGCCCTTCTCCATCAACACCACCGGAGCCCCTGCCCTAGATGCCTCGATGGAAGCAGCCAGGCCCGCCAAGCCTCCACCCACTACCACCACAGGGAGCTGTCAAGCAGGCGGCGATACGGGAAGTGAACCAAGGTCGATAATGAAATAGTGCATGTGAAGCCTGGCGCTGGGGGGGTTGGGGCATGCTTGGTGGTGGCAAGCTAAGGGGTTGGGCAATTGGATCTCGGAGGAGAGGTTTTGGAGAAACAGCGATAGACATTCAAAGTCGCTTCGGCAAGCGTGAGCGTGGGTGTTTCGACGACGGCCAATATTCGGAAATCACGTCGGGAAAGGTTGGCTACACGTGAAGACCATGTTATGCTACGAACACGTGGAATGCCCGAGAGACGCCGGCTAATCCTGGGGCAGCGAACCTTTGTCGTTCTTGGTCCAAACACCAGCTCCATTCGATCTTTGTCGTCAAGAAATGTGCATACGATCACAAGAAGGCTAATGCCTGTTAGGGACAATACCCCAATCAAAGAAATCTGTCGAAGTCTCCACAGGAGCGAAACACAACAAAAAAGCACTGCTGTGGTGTTATCTGTACGAGTTCGTGAGAGTACATTTTCTAGAAAGCTCTCACTTTTCTGTACTGCCGGATCCTGCTGAGTTTCTTCAACGACGGCTCGAATACCGCGGCACGTACCGACATGTCATCTAGATCGACACACCAAGGTTTGGGTGTGTATGATGAGCAAAGGCCAGTCCTTAGTTTTTCCTAGTGCTCCGGGGTATGGAAGGCGGGGGAAACAAAGCACGGTTCCCTGCGCTGAAACCGTACTGAAACCCTGGTGAGGGCATTATAGAGCCAGCACGAAAGGCTTTCGCCTTCCGGACGCGTTATTTCGATTGCCAGCGCGCGATTCTGGCCATCTGGCTGCTTGTGGCGCGTTCGGGTGCTGCCATGCTGAACTTGTGCGTCATCCGAATCGTTCGGGCATTCGCTACCATCAAGAAAGCACCAGACGCATTGCATCGGCTTGCTACCGGCGACTGCAGATAGATTTGTTCCTGCAAACATTATACAGGCAGTACTAAAAACACACATCCCTCCACATCGCAGATAACACAAAGTTGTGCTTCGCGGGAATCTTTTGGACGACGCTTGGGGCGAGGACGCACAAGGGCCGAAACATGGAACAGAAAACCAATGTAGTTCGGACACGGTAGAGTTTCCGTTCACCAGCAGGCGCGTACAAAGTAGTATCCTCCGAACAGATACTGCACTGCCTCGATGAGGTTGGTAAACACACTGCACCTGCTGTTCTCCGATCGGATTCGTAGATCGCTCACCCAAGCCTCCTACGGCGGAGTGGAACATAGTCACGAGCGAGTTAAGCGAGACACGCATGGTGGCGGCTTTCTTTGTTGCCGTGTAGCCTCTTCCGTGCTGTGCACGTGGGTTGTCCAACAGGAGTAGACCGGTGGGGGCACAGTGGACAGAGCGACCGATTGGGGGGGGTGTATGTATATTCAAAATTTTAAAACTGGCCCCCACACATGACAGTATATGGCGGTGCGGTTCTTGCCTCAGACACCCCAGCGGCACTACAAGCGGTGGAACAAACGATGTCTTCGACCACCTTCGAGGAACGTAAGAGTGTCGCTCTGGCGGCCTGCTTCAACGACAAGCGCTGCCATCGGCGCCTGATCGGCCATCGAGCTCGCACCTTTGATTTTCAGGTAAAATTCAAATTTCCTCAACACGGACGGTACATGATGTAGACTGCACGCACATGCAACGGACGCTTAGGTATTCGACAAATCCGGCAGAGCTGCCTTGCCGCGGCTTGCAATACCTAGCGACGACGTCTTTGTGACTGTTTTTGCCCTTCAGAGTTCTTCCAAGATCGAACCGATGGCTGTACACAGTGAAGTTTAAATGTTTGCAGTTGCGCCGCACGGATAAACCACGCTCGTTGGTGGTGGTGCAAGCAGTACGTAGCACAGAGCATGCAGCGACAGACCACATGTACACGATCAATGCCTCCAATATACCACAGTGTAGTACTTCGTGTCATTTGTATCATGGAATGCATGCGCGGGTCGCCCCGGTGGTCTCGTGGGTAACCTCGCAAACATATTATTCTTGTAGCAGTTTGTGGGTTTGAATCTCTCTCGTGAATATACACATGCTTCAAGTAAGAGGGGAGAGACTGCTGAACCCCTCTCGCGTGCAACTCAACGGCAAGTACCGCAGGGGGAAGGTGGGACAACATCAAAAGTACGAAAGAATACGAAACCCCCCGCGATATCTACCTTCCTCCTCTGTGACCCCAGCTGATGCGTGAAGAAGTACGAAACATGTCCAGCACTGCGCGCTGAGCACCTCCATTCTGAAGCCCGCCCCCCAATGGAGGTGGAGAACCCATACTCCGCAAGGAAGGCGCTCGTGTTAAGGAAGAAATGGTGCATCTTGGCATCATCGAGCACACGTGTAGTCTTCCAAAGCTACATCGCTGAAAGGGCCGAGGCCGACACGCGATGGAGCCGTTTACAGTCAGTCTTCATTCGTACAAGGACGTGACCACACTCTGGCTCACAAGCAGGTTATTGGATACAACTTGACCGTCATGCCACTACCTGCACAGCTGGCCGTGAAGTGCGGCGTCAATCTGATCGGTGCGCATCCACCGTGTGCCGTCCCGGTTTTCGTAGGGATGTGAGGCTTTTTGGTCGAAGGCACCACGGCCAGCTCTAAATCGATTACATCTCCTCCGCCACCCCATGTCTCACCCCAACCCCAATGCAGTTCCACCCAACAGAAGACGCCGCTATATCGGCGAGCGAGGACGGGACGGCCCGCGTGTGGGACCTCAGCAGTGGAAAGTGCGCCAAGTCCCTTGAGGGGCACAACAAAAAACACGAGGTGTTGCGGGCGTGCTGGGCCCCGCCGGGGGCGGCCAACGACTCGGTCTCCGTTGCTACCGGCTCGGCCGACGGCATCGTCCGCCTATGGGGCATACGGCATGGCGACGGCAGGGACGAAAAGAGCGGGGTAGACCGATACCAATCCCTCAAGGTCGTGGGGCAGTTGCGGCATCGCAACGAGGCGAAAGGGCTCGACGGCCAGGTCTACTCTTGCCACTTCATTCCCGATCCCAGCGGCGGCGCGCCGCCATCATCGGCAGCGGCGATGTGTCTGCTCACGGCCAGCGACAGCAGCGTTCACCTGTGGGACGTGGAGACGCGGAAGCGGGTATCGTCCCGAGCCCTGTCGAAAGTCGGGGCACATTCCATCGGCGGGGAGCGGAACCCGGACGACCTCGCGTTCGTGTTCGACGCCAAGCCTCGCCCGGGGTCGGGGAGCTCCGTTCTCGCCGTCGCCCTCAGCGACGGCACGGTGAGGGTCGGGGATGTCCTCCAACAGGGTGAAAAGGCCGCGGTGCTGCGAGGAGTCACCGACACCCATCTCACGAGTTTGGCGTGGTCGGACGATGGGACGGTCTTGGCTTCGTGCGGGGGAAACGGGACGATTACGGTGTGGGACACGAGAACCTGGACGGCAAGGTCGGTCTTGTGGGGCCACTCGAGGCCGGTGTACGGGGCGGCCTTCTACTCCTGTGCTGGCAACGGCGGGGGGGGAGCAGCGGCGGCGGCGGCGGCGGCAACAACATCGGGACAAGATTGCCCGCCGCAGCTCTTGCTGTCGTGGTCTAGCGACGAGACCGTGTGCGCTTGGGACACAGGCAGAGCCACCGGTGACGCGACAGCCCCTCTCGCAACCCTTTCAGTCGAGGAAGGGTTTCCCGTGTACAGTTGCTCGGTCTCGGCGGATGGCCGGAGGTTTGCCTTGGCGGGAGGAGGCGGAGATGAGAAGAGCGCCGGCTTCCTCGGCGTTCCCATCAAGCTCGTGGATCTGAGCGACGAAGCGAGAGCGAAAGATGGGAAGGAAAGTTTTGCCGACAATGGGAGCAATGAACCAGCACAGGGATGACTGTTACTACTGTGCATGTGGCATGATGCGGTTCTCGATGTCGTTCGATCTGAGCCTACGTTAGTATTTTTACTATCGGGGGAATTTTTTCATGGTCTGAGTGTAATTTACCGTGTCACAGGCCAAGTATTAGAACCCAAGTGGGGAAAATAACCGGGGAGAGCAGAGGTAACAATAGCGAGCGGGAATACATCGGTGATACTTATCGGCAGTCTTTTTGGTGCTGTGCTTCAAGAGGGCGTATGACGTTTCCTCTCGTCTCCTCTGTTTTATACATCAAAAGACAGTAAGTACTTTTCATGCTCACCAGCTAACCTGAGGAATGAAAACAACATGTTTTTCGTCGAAGAACTGACGAGGGCAATCCAACCATACCGAGCTTGCTAAGATACTGGTTCGTGAGTATGTTGTGCAGGCTTTTGCGCATGACCCGCACGCCACAACATCAAGCGCAAGGCGTGCATAGGTACACGTGCGCCTCGAAATGGCGTCTGTACTTCAGGGCGTAAGGGCAAACGCACAGTAGGGTCAACAAGGTCGAGATTGCATAAGAGCAGTTCTGATGCTGAAAAATGAAAAGCCGCTCCCCGATCGTACTTGTTTGGTATGCGTCAGCGTCGGAGCACACCCAAGACTAAAGCCCCAAAACCACAAAACGACACCACCCACACCGTTCGCTGTACTGCCAATGCACGAAGTCAGAAGAACTTTACGCGTGGAATCTACAAGAAGAGCTGCTGCCTCGCGCTTCAGCAGCTGTCATCTGCGAGCGCCGTCCTTCTGCTTGAGCTTCCCCTCTGCCACTTGCAGCTCCTGCCGGAGTCGTTCAATCCACGTTTCCTTCCGAGCGATCTCAGCCTTGGCCGTGTTGAATAGGCATGATATGTTCTTGGCCAGCTGCTCGTTTTCGGCCCGTAAGACCTTCTCCTGCCACACACGCGCAACATCCACGGACACATGCACATTAGAATTATGAGGCCTGCTTGTACTCAGCTGGGTATTGTATTGCAAAGACTGACATCGGCAAATGTTTGTGCCGTGGAGCAACGTGGAGCGCTCATGAACATGGTGAGGCCAGTCGTTATGGAAAATTTTCCCAGATGGGAATCGGGGGGATCGGCAGACAATGCTCCACCCCCTCCTAACAGTAGGAGGTCTGCGTACTGGGCAGCAAGCAGAGAGCACTAAAGCGCTTTGTCGGTTCGTCGCACAGACCCCTGTTTGCCATCTAACCGATAAGGCTGTACACTCCACTACTGTGAGCTTCTCGGAGCCAAGTTTGGGCAGCTAGAGTGCAGTGTGCGTAGAGTATGCAATGATATGAAAGCAAATTCACGATTCCCAATTTGGAATTCCAACCAATTCCAGTTGGGATTTCATGAGGAATTCCCACCAGGATCGTCCAGCAATTCCAAATTGGAATTCCTATTTTACCAAGCATGACGGTGAACACACACTGCACCGCAGCTCCCCAAACTTGGCTCGAAGAGGCTCACAGCAATGCTCTACGCGGCCTCGAAGGTTTGAATGCAAACGGGTCTCTGTGAGGCGAGTACTGAGTGCCAAAGCGCGTTTGTGATCTTTTCCAACGAAGTACGCAGAACTCCTCGGCCTCATGGGGGATGTAAAAGGCGAAATATCGGGATTCCTGGTTGGGAACTCTTTCCATAACAACTGGCCTGAGGAGGTGCCTCTGCGGGAAATTTGCAGAAGGTCGTGTTTGATGCTGAAACAGGCAGTAATAATGTGGTAACACAGGTATGTAGACTAGACTATATGTGAAATAACGACCCGTGGTGAGGGAAATCGCCGCACGTGCAAGTCACACCCATCTGACACTTGGGGAGAGGTCTCGGATAAAACGTGATTTACCAATAAAGCGATACAAATGGCCGGTACCGCTGTAGGTGCCTATCCTACAAACTGCGAGAAGGACTGCCGTCCCTTCCCCTTATCGGTCGTGAATAGTTACTACTGACAAAGCCGATCCATCAGAGAAGCCGATCCATCAGAGAGAAGGTGTAAGCGCCCACGTTCATTTCGTATGTATTTAAAGAACTGCTGTATGTACTTGTTGTAGTCTACAACAGCAGCCGCAGGAGCAGCAGTAGTGGTCTACACATCTAGCCGCAAGCAAGCTATTGTAGATGCAGACGTGCTGCCATCATTCAGTTGGGCAGCTATGTACGTGCCCACAGCAGCTATGTGTGTCTACAGCGCTCTATACTGCTGCTGCTGTAAACAGCAGTCACGGTAGGTTCGAGGACACAGACAAGCAGTTCTCACAGAGCTTACCTTCCGGAGTGCTGAAGCAAGGCGCTCTTCCAAGCCCCTCCGCAGGCTTTCTGAAGTAGAAAGCTCAGCTTCCAGCTTTGGTGATGTATCCGCGAAGAAAAACATGACAGGAAAGAGTACAGCACAGCAGTGGTGCAGTATTTGCGGCCAGGGGAACAGCACGAACAATGTAGGTCACGTCTTGACGTCTGTGCAACGAGATCAGGGTAGACGAAAGATGCTACAGCAGCAGCAACGGAGCAAATGCACGTATGTATGCCTGATGCATCCGACGTAAAAACATGCAGGCACATATACACCCGCAACAAACTCAGCAGCTACGAGCAGCGCAACGCAAAGCCCACCCCTTTGATCTTCAAAGCATCCACCGAAGTGTCGAGATCGCCGTACAAGTCTTCTTCCGCCATCCTTGTTTGAATTTTTTCGTCTCGTGGAAATGTCGGTCTGGTCGACTACATAAAGGTTCTACGATTACGCTTGTTCTCATGCGATCTACGCTTTTTTCGTGGTGGTCTCCGGAGAAGGCAGACATCAGCCCGGTAGCACACGTACTCAAGCAGGCACTTTTTACAACCTGCCTCGACCCTGGAGGGCTGTACCTCTCGACCTCTCAAGGGTTATGTGGGACACGCTTGTCTGCGGGATTTCTATCGCTGGCATCTTGGCCTACTGGTGAGCTGACAAGACGCGCGCCTCCCTTTTCCGGAATAGAGAGACCACAGATTCAAGACACATGAGCAGTATCATCCCGTTTTTCGTTTCCTGCCACAAACGCGTGTTACCCGAGTTGCCGTTGGCTGATGCTGCGCTCTCTCTGCCCATGGCCTACCCCAGGGGGCTGAGGCGAGCGGAGGCCGGGCCAAGACTGGTCCCAAACGCTGAGTGCCACGTTGGCGAAGGATTCGTGTCGGTCGTGGTGCCTGCGTACAACGAGGGAGATGGGGTCAAGTTGACGCTCGCCACCATCGATGAGCTGGCCCAGGTACGCTGCACGCATTCGCCCCCCCCCTCGAGACTGGCGCGCAGTCAGCTGTCAGCCAGATCCATCCCAATGAGCTATATCCTGGGTTTCCGGAACGCCTAAAGTACCAGCAGCTTGTTCTCTTGCAGATCCTGGCCACTCGCCGAGGTCTGCGGGCTGGATGAGGATTTTGTCCTCCTGCAGGCATCCCACCGCCCGCTAGACCTGCAATCCCATACTCCGTGCCAGTGTGGGTGTACTGCTGTACCACCCCCCATGTATCTACGAACAAGTAACTACTGCTCTTCATCTCGAGGTGTGAATCGACGCTGCATTCGCCCACGAGTGCATCGTTGATCCGTGTCCCTTTTTGTCGCTTCGGTCGTGTGTCATGGCCACCTGCTGCTACGTGGGTGTCGCCATAAAGGACAAGTCGCTGGTTGAGATTATCGTGGTCGATGCAGGTTGCAAAGACCACACGATGGACGCCGTCGCCTCCATGAAGCTCGACGTCAAACTCAGGTGGGTCTACGCATGGTCCCGGCGGCGAATGCCGGGCATGTTGTTAGCCTTACATGTGTGTGCCAGTTCTCAACCAACGACAGCTGCTGTACAGGTATATCCGGGTGAAGAACGAACGAACCCTGCTCCAGACTGCCGCCGTAGTCGAGACGCCCTGTCTGTACAATAGTGTCGTTTCGATTTTCGACGAGGATCTTGTTCTCCTAGAGAAGAAGTGTGCCCTGGACTAAGATCGGCGAACTCACGTGGATGCGAGATAGGGAATCCAGCCGTTGAGCCCTGGCTCAAGCTGTCACGAAATCTGTTCGTTTTTAGTGCCAAGCAGCGCTACGTACGCGAACTGCCCCCATGGATGCAGATAATATGCAGATTCTAATGGCAAGAAACGCCGCAGCGTGAAGTCCAGCGAACGTAATAGGGGGCCGACGCCAGAAAAAAAAGAAACGGCAATTTGCGGGTCGAGGGAGGCTGAATTTGTTGCGTTGCCACAACTGTCGGACAACATGTTACCAAGGCCCTCCCTGCCTTCGGCCCCCACGTGCTCCGGCCCGCTGTGGAACATGAATAATGCGGAGAGCGATTGGGTAAGAGTGCCAACACTACGGGGTGGGTACCTTCGATGACCCTGCGAGCGAAGATTCGATTCAATGCTATCATCTTACTGTAGCTTCAAATCCCGACTTTAAGGGCGCACGGGGGGTCGCCGCGTGTCTCCTCTTGAAAAATCCAGGAAACACCTGCATGCCTTGCTTTTCCAAAGTTTAACTCCTGTACGAAACTTCCATCGCAAATTAACCGTCCGCTGACCCCCCCTCGTATACAATGTTACTTCTATCTGAGATTTGTACCCCTAGCAAGTTGAGCCTGTCCATGCCTATGCGCCATGACCACCCGTCAGGCATGTGTGGTGTACTCGCTCGCGGGCGCCAATTTTTTATCTGTTTCGACTTTCTTACAAGTTAGAAACACATTACACACGGGTCAACAGCAAGAACCCTCCGTACGTATAGTTCGCAGTCAACCTTGCGAACAATCAAGTCCGTGTGACTGCTGTTATCAACCATGCATGTGTATACGCTGAATACTGCAGACTGCTGTGAAAATCTCTGCCAGCAAGTTTTTTGCTTATTTGTGGGATATGCAGTTCGCAGTCAACCATGCGGCGACGAAAGTCCGCGCGTTGATTATTATGAATCATCCATTGCGTGTGCACACGCGGAGTACTGCAGACTGCGCAAATTTGCAGATGCAAGAAGAGTGCTTGCGACTTGGTCAAAACTGGTGGTCTCAATGTTTCAAAAGGAAGCGTGGTGCAGTATCCATCGGGGTAAATATCCTCCGCCGCTGCCCCACCCACTTTAGAGGTTCCTCGGGATAATATGCTGGAACGCACACTTTGTCAAGAGCACAGCTTCCTCCTCTCGCTACATACGGAGCCGGTCGGATATAAGGAACGTCCAAATCGGGTCGAGGCTCATTTTTTTTTTCGTTGGCTCTGCTGTCGAGTAGAGTATAGGTTGCTATAAAGGGTTTAGTGCAAGGATCCACCGCCGAGCTATGTTTCTTTAGCCCGATTTTCTTACTTTTGGCGAAAATTTGATCCCCTGTTCCTTATTTCTTAACAGCGGGCCCGTTCTGCATCGACACTTCAACCCCCCCCCCCCCCCCCCATTTACAAGGGAGGTACAGAGAGATGTTTGAGGCATGGAATAGAAAAAAGAGGACGGTAACTGTATTGGAGAGTAGGAAGTGGTTTGAAAAGGCGGGAAGGGATATCGTTAGGATAGATAGACTAGGGACAACATTTTTGAGCCACCTTTGGCAAAGTAGGAAGGAACGATTGGCCATCGGTGATCGGTACTGTGGGAACAATGCTCCGCCCTCTCGAGGACGTGTGGTCAATGGTCTAACCGCTAAGGCATGCAAAACATAAGAGTACGCCCCCCCCCCCCCCCTCCCTACCGACGTGTACCCCGTTGCCACGTACGCACCCCGAACACGACAAAAACACAGCACGACAACCTCTGTGGGCGGGCGCGGGCCGGCTCTCAACGCCGGGGCGCGGATGGCGAAAGGAGACCTTCTTCTGTTCGTGCACGCGGATACGATTGTGCCCCCGGCCTTCGACGTGACCCTCCGCAAGGCGTTCCGGGACCCTAAGATACTCATGTCCACGTTCCTGTTCGGGATCAACCGGGCTCTGCTCCGCGGGAAGGAGCCGTTCGGGATGGCAGTCATGGAGAGGGTAACCAACTACAGGACCCGCGTCATTCACCTTCCGTACGGCGACCAGGCGAGTCGGGTATAGGTTTAGCACCGCGGTTCATGGTGAGCGTGCCGATACATGCAGATGGTGGTGAGGTTTTGTGCTTTGCAGGCGTGTAGGACCATTCCGTGTGCCGCAAGCTCTACCTTTGTACTTGGCCTTTTGTGTACCGCGATGTTATTTCTGTCTTAGTTGTGCAGTCGGTCGGGATTGTGGTGGTCACATACTCCGCTGCCAACCGCGTGCTCTACACGTGGGACCTGGCCTGTTCCATGCAGGAGGCCTGATCCGGGTGCAGAAACATGATCAGTTGTGGCCGTTTGCATCTCCCTAGCGCAGTGCCCTACACGAGATTTTTTGCGGGACGTGCCTACGACCGTTGTGTATGTACGGATCTTTCATTTATGTTTTCGTTGTTGTTGTTGCCCAAAGGGTGGGGTAGGGCGGGGCAGGGGGGTTAAAGAAACAGGTTATATACCTACCCCCGCAAGAGCGTGGAAGACTTCTCCGACGGGTACGGGAATTCTTGTGGTGGTACAAAAGCATTGTCGAAACGGAAGCTTGTTACTGAGCTACTAGGACCTACCGGTGCCGGTCGTGTGTTTGTGATGATAATCTAAGGAGACCGTCTCAAAAGGTCCTTAAGGTGCCTCTTGAGTCTACCCCCCCCTTGCGGTGCAAGATAGGTAGAGCTCCCAGTCCACATGGTTTTTTTCTCTCTTAAGATTCCAGCATCGTCGTATTACTATTAGGTGTGTTTGCGATGCGGTCGGGGACGTAAACGGCTCATGGTGCGATATAGTCGATTCCATTCCAACGCTTGCGCTTGAACCCTATGTTTCCGGCTTCGGTTCCTCTCTTGTAACTTGTGGTCCCCCTGAACTTCTCCGTACGTGCACGGTACGAAGGCTTAACCCCAGCTCTCCCCTCTTTGCCCCTAAATCAAAGGCTTTCTGCTTCACAGCGCACAAATTCGCCGAGATGGGAGGGTTCCCGGACATCGTGATGATGGAGGTGAGCTTAGCACGGACGAGGACCGGCACAGGGGAGATTCGCGGTCGAAGTGCCAAGCGTGGTTGTCGTCCTGCTCACTGTCCCCGTGGCGTACATATGTGTCGCCAGCTTTAGCTTTGTGTACGTTTAGTCTTCGAAGGCGGTATCATAAGCACCTGTCTGCTGAGGAAGACGATCCCGTGGTCTCGCCCTTTCCTCTATCGTGTGCATGCGTGACCGCCGCGAGACGACTTCCGGCATGCGTTCATCCTAAGTCTTGGCGTGTCGTTCTTTTTCGTCTATTGTAGGACTTCGAGGTGGTGAGGCGTCTGCGAAAGGAAGAGCTTGCCGGCGGAGGGCACATCCACGTCCTGGACGAGGCGGCGCTGTGCAACCCCCGGAGGTGACGGATTTCCACTTGTAAACGCATGATTTGGACCTAAATGTAGCATTCTCGGTTTCCGTTTGCTATGGCTCGAGTCGCCTCGGCTTACATGGGCCCCTTGATTTCGATTGATTGATTGGCCGCGTGTTGACAGTGTCGTTTGCAGATTTGCTCGGGATATATGGGGCGTTCCAGCGTCAGCAACATCGATGTAGGGTTGAGCACACCTGCGCCGTAGGCTACGACAGACTTTTACAAGGAAGAAGGTGTACAGCAGTAGGCGTTGCCTTGGTCTCGTATAACTGCACGTGACGTACTGTTTGCTGTCCGCTCGGCCTGTGCAGCCGCTTCGAAACGTTCTCCATATCCTCTGCGTCGGGTGCTTCCAACCCCCCCCCCTTCCCCTTCGCTTCCCCCTCATTCCCCGCAATGTGCGCGCTCTCACCCACGGGACTGTCACGTCACGGGACTGTCGCGGGACTGTTTGGCGACCGTCGTCGTCGTCGTCCTTCTCCCCAACGCACGCACGGCACAAAAGGTGGGAACAGCCAGGCAACAACCCTTTCGTGAATTTCTGGAAGAACTGGGTGTTTTTGTTTCTGTATTCCAAGCTGGGCTTCTCCCCCGAACAAATCTTCCGGCTCTACTACGGCCGTGACCCGGACCCCATCGTCGTCGCCGATGACTCTCGCTCTCTTGATGCCGGGTCCGGCGGCAAAATTCTTGACGATCAAGCTCACAACCCCGCCGAGCCAGCGCCTTCCCGCTAAGCTAGTTAAAACGCACATGTTCTTGGGTCTAGGGGTTCTCCTTTCATGGGTTGGGAAGGTTCGACAGGGTGCATTCCCTCTCTATGGGTTGGCGAGAGTCGGGTGCATACTCTTTGATGGGTTGGGAAGATTCGGGTGCATTCTGTGAGCTCTCTGCCGCTGTGGTACGTCTATCGAGGGGTGCAGTGTTGTTTGTGTGGTGGGTGCTCTGTTGCGCGTCTCGAGCAACTCTATCCATGGCTGCAGTGGCCCCAGCCTGTGCTTGAAGGCGTTCTTGTTGGTCGGGGGGCGTTGCTCTTACAGAGACGGCCGTGCGCCTTGAAGATAGATGCACGTTGTCGCTCGTTTTCTATTGTTGTGTTGTGCTTGTTGGAGATGCAGCCTAAGTCAAACTCCTGGTTTAACTGCTGTCTGCCCCTTGTTAGCATGGTGTCACGGTAGCCCAGAAAGTTAGCTTCTTCCGGGTGGACACGGTGGAACATGGTAGCTGAGCCGCGGTGTTCGCTTGTGTGTTTATCCTGTGGTGGCGCAGACACGTGCTCACCTGTCATGGGTCTGGAATATTCATCCGGGAGCTACCGTACAACCCCCCAAGTTCACCTCAAAGCGTTCTGTGCCTGAGACGAGTTGTCTGGCTGGCTGCGTGCGGTGTTTCCACAAGCAGAGCGATATCGATTGTTGCGCTGCCTCTGGTTGAGAATCTTTGCGTCGTCGAATCTCGTTGGGGGTTGCAAGGTTTTGCTGTTACACGTTGTTCGTGTTTAGCGAGGCTGTCACACTTTGCGCGGAACAGCGCATTGCTGCATCATTTTACCGTGCGTTTGTGTGTTGGGCGTCTCTATTTTGTATCTCGGCACCATGGGTAGGTAGGTGCGGGCGGTGGGGGGCAAGACTCTCCGTGTTTTTTCGAGGCGGTTCTGGGCAGATCAGTTCATCACAATATTTCTACCACATCGCCCAAGCAGCCTTTTTTTATGCTATGTTTGTTTTCAGACGTCTCCTTTTCTTACGGTGTGTAGACTATCTGTGACCGGTATGTAGCTTGCGTCGATCGTTCCAGCGAAGATTTTTTCTGGTTCCGTCCTTGTATTTTTTTCCCTTTTTTGGTGAATTGCTTCGGGTTATTTCCATGTTTTGTGGCTTGAGAAGTGTAGCAGGTGTCGAAACAGGTTTTGAAGCTTTCGTAGGCGGCGGTTATCCCCTCCACGAGATTACTGCTACACTGCCGCAAGGCTCGAAAACTCTACAAGATTGACTTGCCTTGACAAAGGTTGCCGGTTTGTCGTGCCTCTCTTTTTTCCACGTGAACGGTCCTCGACTTCGTTTGATGCCTGTGCGATAGCGGGGCACTTGCTCGTTTTTATGTCGATCCATCTGTTATGTTTCGACGCCTCTTGCAAGGGAGAAAACAAAGACAACATCCTACTATTATAATAGAGGTTGAGCTCCGTTTGTGTGTCTGGTTATCATCAGAGCAGCGCTTTGCCTCCATCTCTTCTCCCCCTCGCCTCTGTCGCTCAGAAGCGCACCTCGCTCGCGTTCCGTGTAGCGGGAAAGGGGGGGGGGGGGAGGGGTACGATGATCATTCTGATGCGATCTC